TAGGCCACCGCGGCGGGGCATATAACTGGCCTACGCGCTGTGATATGCGTGAAGGAGAAATGTAAGGTGCGTGACGAATTGAACTGTTGTAGAACTTGTGATGTAATGATGGCTTCTGGTTAGACCAACAAAATTAGGCCTATTTCGTCGGGTCATCTGACACCATGTGGGACGCTGTACTATCTAGTGCACACACAGCCGGACGCATTGATGGCTGACAACAAAAGAACATTTATTCAAGCAGTATATGACCGAAAAAGAGAAATGGCGCCAGCGATGTTGGTGACGCACTCAGCAATGCCATAGGCAACAGTTGCGATGGCATCGTGAGGGAGGAAGACTGCCACACGCAAACGCACACTGGTGAAATTCACGGGCAGGATCACAACAATCACAAGAATGGCCGCAGCTACTGCAGCTGTCATCGAGTCCTTCGGGTCGACGGCACAGGCCGACGAAGTCTAAGGAGAGGATGATGTGGTCTCCGAACTCGTAGAGACGGCGCAGGCGGCAGGGTAGATTCCGATGTTGCTTTACAGAAACTGGTGACAGAATCATGGAAGGATCGACCCTTCACGACTGCCGCACTGCTCTGCTTGTCAAGGTTGTTGACAGCGTTGCTGACTTTCTCTAACGCTTGGCGGCGCGTCACAGGGCCATCAGAGGAGGCAAGGGCGATGACGGCATTGCGCTGAATTTGTCAGGAAGGGCAGCGCGACTCGTTCGCTGCACGTCTTCCCCTACCGTTGATGCAGCGAGGGTGCTCTGAAGGGCATGGGCCGTTCGGGTGGCTGCCGCCGCACCAGAATCAGCGCTCGGGGCGAGAGAAAGTTTTATATCAGGAACAGGAAAGCCCCTTAAGCCGTGGGTCATGTGGCCGCGATGTAGTAGTAGTAGTAGTAGTAGTAGTAGTAGTAGTAGTAGTAGTAGTAGTAGTAGTAACCACCTCGATGGATGGACTAGAGGATCGGCTCGCGCGTTCTTTTAGGGGCGAAGCTCCTTAAGCCGTGGGTCGTGTGTCCGGGATGTATGTAGTAGTAGTAGTAATGATAATAGTCCGTCGTAGTGGGTAGCCACCTCCGCGGCCGGCCTAGAGGAGCGGCACGCACTGATTTGAATCGAGGAGGAAACATGCACGCGTTAATCATAAATAAAAAGACAGTTATTTCTGACAAAATAACCTACAGGGTCGAGTGTCGGTGACTTATTCCCAATAAAATTTGTCTTGAATTTGATGCTTAATAAACAAAACTATAAGAACGCACTTTAAACACTATGTGACCAGAAAGGGTTGCCACGTTACACTCGCTGGGCGTAACCTCCTTGGTTTTGGCAAGGCTTAGCCAACCATATGCCAATATCTGGTTAACCTCGCGGCCTTCGTTTTTCTCTATCTCTCTACCTGTCTAGCGAGGGTTGGGCCGCAGTGCCATTTACTAGCGGTGGTGAAAGGTGGAAACCAGATACGAGTGCGTGCGTGCCACTCCTGTAGTCCGGCCACGCCACCTCTCGTTTAGTCTTTGGAATGTGCGCTGGATGGTGGTACTTCTATATGATCAGTATATGATGAACGGGTGCGAGATGGCGCTACTTGGAGTGTTCACTGAATGGACGAACGGATTGACAGACGCATGGATCGACAGAGAGAGAGATGCACGGACGAATGAATGGCCGCACAGATGGACGCATCATTGAACGGATGCACGGATGAATGGACAGATGCACGTACGGACAGATGGACGCACAGACAGACGGAATTTGCTAGCATTGCTTTGTAAAAGTTCGAATATGTATCTATCGCATACATTGCTTCGCCCTTTTGGCGAAACTGACTTTTTTGAGAGATACATAATATCAGATTTAAAAATGTTAGGTGCCACTCCTGAGTCGTATGCTACAATTTGCTGCTATGTATTCATTGATTCGCCCGTGCTGTGTTTTTTTTACATAAGTTGAAATGGCACATGTGAATCTACGAATGAGTCAATTTTATCTCTAAAACGAAACTAGTTCTGCTTGACTAAATTTTTGAGGAACCAGGCATATATCTATCAATGAACTGTTAAAGTTCAGTATTTGTTGCAGCACGGTTTACCTTTTCTCATTTTTTGAAGGTCTCGGTAACAGCACTGAAGTTTTAAATCTCCGCTGCTGAATAGCAAATTGCAACCAGCAGTGGTCGCTAACAACGGGAAAAGAAGGCAGCATGTACAGCAGGTTTAGTGTCGTAGTCAGGATCAAGACAAGCACATTAGCAGACATAAGAACTATTCTTGCTTATTCGGTGACCCCTAGAGTCAAATTGAAATCTAAAATAAGCTGACGAATGATTTACCCTCTGCGGTCACCTTCGGCTTAGAAGGGTTGGTACCTCACCAATCAATTTTAGGAAAGTTAGTTTCGTAACAAGTACTCATGAGATTGTGGAACTTATACAACTAATGGTATGACATGGAAAAACTTTATTTAGGTGCGTCGAGGCCTGAACCCGTGTTTAGCCCCCCCCCCCCCCGCCGTCTTTTCCACGTCGGGTCAGATAGGCCTATAGGCTCTCCGCCACGTCGTGGGCCAGTTGTACTGCCCAGTGTTGCTTATTTAAACCCACACTGCATACCATTTTTACGGAGTTTTCCTGCGTTTCTCTATGACATATACCCTGACATCTTCCCAAAAGACCTGTGCTCGTCATGTGGTGACACAGTCACATTAGAGCATATACTCAGCGTGTGCCATGACATGAACTCAAAATTCACACAGGACTAGTGGGGGATGCTTCTACGCAGCCCCGATCTCACTGATCAGCTCACGGCTGTCCAGCGGGCCCACGATGTCGCCGGCAGGCTCGGCTTGCCAGTCCTTATGTGGGACTGAGCCAGGTGCGTCACTCAGTCGCGTTCCGCAGGACCAAAATAAAGTTATTTTCCTTACTTTCTTCTGGTAAGAGAAGCAGAATGCATCGGCGATGGAGAGAGCGACGGTGATAAACAAAAGACAGAGAGGTCACGCCCAGGAAGGCTTCGGTTTGCAACCCTGCACTTCGAAGTGGAAACATGTTACGTGAACAAGAAAAACTGGGAATCGGCCCTAAATGTACGGAAGGGTGTTTCAGCTCTTGTAACACGAGACCTGGCGAGGTTCAAATAATCTTTTGTAGGGGGCCAGATTTTTTTGATGAGGCACTGGTGGTGCCACACCTGAAACCGAGCATGTAGAAAAGGGTGTTTCCGCTCCTTTTACGTTGGGCTAACTGCTGCCTTCTTCACTTTCAAAAGACCAGTGGAGAGTAGTGCAATTTTCTGAATGTTTTTGGCGCATACCTCTTTATGACAGACCATGACGGCATGAAAAACCGTGACATTGGACGCCGATAAGCAGGGGGCCTCAGGTTCGTCGCAGCAAATTAAAAAAAACCTGTCACACAAAATGCGATTGTTCTTTTTTCTGATGCTTAAACAATTGAATTCAGCTAGTAGTCGTCATGTGCTTATGAAGATGTGTGCAGGCGCTTGACCAAGAAAGTCATCAAAACAGTGATTTGCGAAGTTGCCACACTCGATTCTAAACGTAATTTAGGATAACGGCCATGAGAATACTTTTCTGATATGACATACCTCTTAAAGCGTGCGTGGGCAGATTTTCAGCGACAACACACGTACTAGAGCATTTCGAGTGCGGAAGAAGAAACAACGAAATGAACCATGAATGGTTTGTCTGTGGGGCGAATGCAGTTTTACAGATACAGACCTCTGCCCTAGAAAGGCCTGAAAGGCGAATGTGCAGCTGCTGTTCAACTGCCGAAAATGAGGTGCGTACAGCGTTCCTCTGCAAACCTTCATTTATTACGGCCGTTTCACGCCAAATATTTGGTTACGTTAGATTATTACGGTGCACCTGTGCGTTCAGCGCTTGCGCGAGAGGCGATTCAGCCATCTTGTTTGGCTGCCGATTCTTTATGGCCGTCACACATTAAACCTATATCTCGCCCCATCACAATATCTTGATAGTGCCTTCATGAGTCAGCGTGACATGCAAGTCTCACTTTTTCCCAGCAATGTTCGGGCTTTATTTGTATGAATTTTTTATGTAAACATTAGAAAGAACTCTGTCTGGTTGGGTATGAAACTGGGAGATGATTTAGACTCCAACAAAAAGTTTTGAAGAGACCCGACGTTATGAAACCGACTTGGTTCCTTCCTCAGGGGTGACAGCGGAGACTACGTAGCAGCGGCGCCCTCAAAGCACTCGCGGGGCGGATAATGACCCCACTTCTCTCTCTCGTTTTGCTGTGGAGCACAGTATATGCGCATACACTGGGAGAAGGGTTCCGAGAGAGTGGTTGATGTTATGGGCTGTCCTCTGTATGTGCCACGACTCGAGTAATAACCTTCTCCTCCAGTTCGGATTTTAAGTCGGTTTCGAAACGTCGGGTTTCTTCAAAACTGTTGGTTGGAGTCTAAATCATCTCCCATAAATTTCTTTTGTACGAAATATTTGCAGCTTATATATGGTTACCGCCGCCATTTTATATATTATTCTGCCAGAAATATAGTTGGAGCCTACCGAGAGTTACCAACATTGTAGAGGTAATCAAGACACACACACATTATATATATATATATATATATATATATATATATATATATATATATATATATATATATATATATATATATATATCCTGCAGTAGGCAAAAGAATGCTTCGTATTTAATGAGTGTTTACAAACACTGAATATAATACAATAGGGCAGGCATGGGCTTGTTGGTGAAGCACAGTGAATTCTCCTGAGTCTGAAACAGGAGGGTTCTTCCTTCCTGTGCTAGATTCGTTACTTGCGCTGTGTGTTTAATAATTCTAAATTCTATCTCCGGAGTCTTTCCTAGATCTTCAGAGCTGTCTTTCCGAAACTGGGGATCTTGAGGGCAAAACTTTCCTGTATGTTCACGTCTTTGAAAATATGTCTTATTAGCTTACTAAGGAGTATTCGCCCTCCAATTACAGAGTTTCATACCCGGTTAACATCACTGCAATGACAACTGGCAAGCATAGATATCCAAACGATGCAGTATACGAAGAATATCCAGGTAAGACCTTGCCCCCAAATACGCCCTAATAATATTTTGTGAACAAGGGAAAATATGTAGGCAGTCATTTCAACTTTGGCTTTAGGAAAATGGAAGATTGTAGTGTATTACCTTGTACCTTTCCATTCATTAATCTTCTTTAATTTACGGCCGCATACCTGCCTCAAAGTATTCCTCGGCCATTTCGCACATCATCGCTTCCTTACTACTGAGTAATCAGCTATTTCTTGTGTTAAAATGCCAGTTTTTCGTTTTGTTTTTAGTTTGTATGCACTGTTAACCACTCTCTTCTGCAATGATTCAGTCTTGAGGGTAGAATAAAATGACATGATATGAACTTTCTTTATTTTTTTGTCCAAGATTTTATGCGATGAAACTCCATCTTGCTTTGGAATTAGCTATGCTACTACAAATCATCTTGAAATGGGGCTACCATTTCTTGTAGATAGGGTGTTTATTTATTTATAGACATAGTCATAAACATTTTTCTTTCGTTATCAAAATATTCTTACTGTATGTGCTCCAATGACGTGAGACTCGAGTTTTTCTCAACGTGTGGCGCCACCTCTCGGTTGTAGTACACCGTTTTATTTTCTTGTGCAATTTTCTGTGGAACCAGGTGCAACTTGCGAGTGGTACACAAAGATTTAGGCATTATGTCTTCAACATTCAGAAAGACAGCTCATAAATCCTCTCCACTAGTTAAACATGCCAGTGAACCACTGAACCGCCATGAAGTGTTTGTTGGACCATCTTGCTTAGTTGAGCGTGGATTTGGTTAAGAAAATAACACAAGACGGCAGCTGTTTCGAATAAACCCAGTTGAAGGCGAGCCATCTTTATGTCCTGTCTTCTTTTCTTAACCGAATTCGCGCTCCCCCAAGCACGATGTCAAACAAATTAGCCCAAAGACGGACCATAATATAGAACCACTCGCGAGAACAGCGGCGAAAACAAAAGCAGACGTGACAACTCTGCGCGCTATGTAGAAACGCCGCAATCGACGTAACTGTTTCCTCGAGAATTTTCACGGGTGTGAGGGACTGAACAACAAGATTAAGCTTTAGCAATCTACTTAGCTTTTGTACGAGACAGGGAGGGTAGATAGTTAGATACGGGTTGTTGAAAAGGTGTTGGGTAAGCGAATTACCTCCGTTCTCGCTAGCTCGGCGCTCGAGGAAGTGTCATAATGTGGCTTTCGCTTTATAGTTTCGAATAGCCCTACAGAGAACCTAGGTAACGGTGACTATGAAACTCAGCAGAGTCTTTGACAATAGCGTGCGTTGTGTAAATGATGTGAGCACTAGAGGCATATTTAAGACGCGCGATGAACATCAAACATCGCGTGCATCATGTCGTTCCATTGTCCTATATAATTGTTCATCACCCCGCAATATCGTGTCCTTATGTTTTCAGTGCTCCAGCTTCATTTATAGACTATCGATTGCTAACACGTTCGTCAGACAGGTGAATCACAAAATCTCGGTAATAACTGATTTTGGCTTGTTTTGCTCGTAGCTTCCACAATGGCTGGAGGTCATATAGGAGGTCACGCTTTTTTTTTTTGTTGCCTTTGCTTCTATCAAGTGGACACTATTCATTCCAATTTGCAGTGTATACAAATGGAAAAGAACCATCATCAGAACTTTGAATGGTGGGTAATAAAACACTCCCACGCACACTAAACGACAGTCAAGGGAGAACGCAAGTAAACAGGTGAAAATCGCTGGGCGCATTCACCTTTGTTGAAGTGATCATTGAAACTACTGGTTGCAAGGATCATAGCTCACTAAATTTGTTGTGTTGGAACTTCATCACTTTGATTTCACGTATACATCTAAATGTGCTGTTTGCTGCTGAGACTGTTCTCTAATAATTTAGTTTTGTGCATATTAATTTTCAGGCCTACTCTTCTGCTTTCCGTGTTCAGTTCAGTAAACATGAGCTGTAATTCGTCCCCTGAGTTACTCATCCAGGCGATGTCATCAGCGAATCACAGGTTATAGAATGTAAAGGTGGGCTAGTTGGTAATTCATGTTGGTAATTCACCAGTTGTTAGTTGAGCACTCGTGCTGTGTGTCTTCTCTTTGCTACGTGTTTGTGTTACTCCCGCGCTCTAGGTTCGCTGAACAATCATGGATCACAGATTACTAACATACTCTCTAATATTTTTATCCCTAGCTTTTCCCAATGCAGGGCCGTGAAAACCTCCTGTAAACACAGGGTTAATAGCATTGGAGCAATCGTGTCTCTCTGCCTTACCCCATTCTTTATTGCGATTCTGTCGCTTTCTTTTGGAGAACTATGGTGCCTGTGGATCCAGTGTAGATTTCTTCCAGTATGTTTATGTAAGGTTCGTTGATGCCCTCAACCCGTAGTGCGTACATTACTGCATAGGTGGAGAGACGCTAGAAGTTGTAAAAGAATGTCTACTTAAGGCAGGTAGTAACCGTGAAGCCGAACAATGAGAGTGAAAAAACTAGTAGAATAAGGATAGGGTGGATCACATTCAGCAAGCATTCTCAAATAATGAATGGTAATCTGCCACTAACCCTCACGAGGGAGGTACATAACAGCTGCGTCTTGCCAGTACTTACCTACGGGGCACGAACCTTGAGGCTGACAAAGACGGTTCAGCTTAAGTTGAAGGCGAAGCAGCAGGCGACGGAAAGAAAAATGATAAGTGCAGCCTTACGAGACAAGAAGAGAGCAGAGTGGGTCAGGGGACAAACCGGGATTAAAGCTATCATAGTTGAAATAAAAAATAAATGAACGGAAGAAAGAAAATGCACGTAGCACGTAGACATAATAACGACTGGTCTTTAGGGGAACTGACTGGATTCCCAGAGATGACAAACGCACGAAGGGGAAAGGGAATGGTAGGTTGGTCAATGAGACTAAAAAGTTAGCATGTCATCATCATCATCATCATCATCATCATCATCATCATCAGCCTGACTACGTCCACTGCAGGTCAAATGCCTCTCCCATGTTCTGCCAGTTGACCCGGTCCTGTGCTTGCTGCTGCCAATTTACACCCGCAAACTTCTTAATCTCATCTGCCCACCTAACCTTCTGTCTCCTCCTAACCCGCTTGCCTTCTCTGGGAATCCAGTTAGTTACCCTTAATGACCAGCGGTTATCTTGTCTACGCGCTACATGCCCGGCCCATGTCCATTTCCTCTTCTTGATTTCAACTATGATATCCTTAGCCCCCATCTGTTCCCTAATCCACTCTGCTCTCTTCTTGTCTCTTAAGGTTACACCTACCATTTTTTTTCAATTGCTCGCTGCGTCGTCCTCAATTTAAGCTGAACCCTGTTTGTAAGTCTCCGGGTTTCTGCTCCGTAACTAAGTGCCGGCAAGATACAGCTGTTATATACCTTCCTTTTGAAGGATAGTGGCAATCTACCTGTCATAATTTGAGAGTGCTTGCCAAATGTGCTCCACCCCATTCTTATTCTTCTAGTTACTTCAATCTCATGGTTCAGCTCCACGGTTATTACCTGCCTTAAGTAGACATTCTTTTAGAACTTCTAGCGTCTCTCCACCTATGCATGTAGTTCGCATGTATCACGTGGTAGCAGAAAGCACGAGACCGGGATCATTAACGGATCATGGAAGAGGCCTTTATCTTGCAGCGGGTGTAAGTAAGCAGATGATGATGATGATTATGATGATGAGGATACATTCAAATGAATATTTAGGTGTCACAGAACGGACGTCGTTGGACTTGCCTCAAATGCGACATCGTTGGGTGCTCAGTTGCCGTTGTGTGTTCAAGCACTATGAAATACTTGAAACTACTTTTGCCTTGGTCCCGCAGCTTGCTGCGATGACTTGCGCATACTTTCCTAAATCATTTATTGGCGAAAAAAGCCTCCCAAATCATTTACTTTCACAAAAACATACCTTAATATGTACTTTGGTACTTTTCGGTACTTTTTCTGAAGGGAGCCGGTTCAGTCTCTACGAACGGCAAGTTGTTTCCCCCTCCCCCATTTTCTTAACATCGATATCATTATTAACATATAAATAGAGTCAGAAGACATCTAAGAATGGCCCCAATACACCAGAAAACACTCAGGCCAGTGTGCGCCACTATACTTAGGAAGCAACACCTTGAACTACCATGGTAGCAGATGCCCCACAATTGGAACGCGAAACTTTCCAACCCGAGTCTGGCTGTACGCATGTTTCACGCTTTTTCACTCCTACAAAGTTCTCGCTCCTACAAAAAACTATCCTCGACCCTCCGGAAAGTCTATAGTTCATGCATTCTAGTCTGACGAAGCAACTTTATTAGGTACGTACTATCCCGATGAAAAGAAACGGGAACAACGGAAAACGTCACTTTCGACTCTATGGAACTGCGAAATGTCTTGAATGTCACTTGACAAACTTGTGCTTTTAGCCGGCGTTACTGTGGTGCTAGAAGCCTGCTCCGGCGCTCATACAACACATGTGTTCACCATATGCCAGTATTACCTGGCACTCGGGACATGCACACGGTGCGAGAGTGCCAGCCAAAGTACGATACAATAGTATTACGGTGACGCCGGCTGAAAACACTGATTCGCCTAGCGACACTCATAGCATGTCAGATATGGAATGAGTCAAAAGCCAGGGTTTCCCCTGTCAATGTTTTTCTGTATTGAGATAGTACGCCGTTATGTTAAATGTTAATGCGCCCAGTGAGTGTATACACGCGTGAGTTGTAATGTCTCATCTTAGGGGCATTTGACCTGCGAAAGCGTACGGCAATGATTTGGTGCAGCATTATACAGGCATACTGCACGCATATTACAGCTGCCAAGTGAAGTATAGCTGCCGTCGCGCTTGAATACACGCAAGTGTACCTGTATAGTTTTACTGGGCTCAGACTTTTTCCTGTTGATTGCAAGTATCCACTGGCAAGTATGCACTGGGAGTCTAGGTGGTTGGGTTTGCAATAGGCATGCTCTAGTCGATACATCATTCGGGTTAATCGTTTGTCCGCTGTCATTAAGATGGTGTTTAAATAAACAAAACGAGCTCTTAAATGAGGGTGGCGATTTGGGCTTGTTGGTATGGTTGCATGATGATGGATGGTAGCGCAGACAACGAACACGGACAAGAGAAGGCACATAGACACAACACAGCGCTAACTTTCAACAACAGTTTATTACACGCAGATCTCCGTGGTGTATGCGATCCACCACGCCAACGTCGCACGTGCGTAGCTCTAAAAACCATCAAATATAACCAACGCGCGTGTTCCAATACTTTACAATTTTATATTTTTCAATCTTTTTCTACTTTTTCTTTCTTCCTTTTATCCTATGTTACCACAAACCCTATCGCGAATACATGTAATCAAGTTCCTTATCTGTCAACACCACTGATGGGCTGCTCACACACGTGTCACCTAGCTCTGCAATTCTGCCGGCCTCCAATACCAACCGCGTCATCTCGTGAGATGACGCGGTTGGTATTGGAGGCCGGCAGAATTGCAGAGCTAGGTGACACGTGTGTGAGCAGCCCATCAGTGGTGTTGACAGATAAGGAACTTGATTACATGTATTCGCGATAGGGTTTGTGGTAACATAGGATAAAAGGAAGAAAGAAAAAGTAGAAAAAGATTGAAAAATATAAAATTGTAAAGTATTGGAACACGCGCGTTGGTTATATTTGATGGTTTTTAGAGCTACGCACGTGCGACGTTGGCGTGGTGGATCGCATACACCACGGAGATCTGCGTGTAATAAACTGTTGTTGAAAGTTAGCGCTGTGTTGTGTCTATGTGCCTTCTCTTGTCCGTGTTCGTTGTCTGCGCTACCATCCATCATCGAGCTCTTAAAGTTCTCTTCTCTTCTTTGATAAAAGCCATTTTGGAAAGTAATACACTTCTTTTCTTTGAAATTTAGGTGAAGGACCAATAGATCACAAACTGATGACGATGGACTACAGCCGCACTTGCTTCGTCTTTGCTGTAAATCGTTCAGAAGGATACAGTAAGTTCTTTTGATATGATAGTAAGAAACATCACGCAATATGTATTTCCTATAAAAAGAACCATTTGAAGTATGGAACAGAGTATACAATGAAACAGCGCCGCCCCAGCATTCCATACAGTTGCTTAGCCAGCGAAGCTAAAACTTGTGACCACAGGTGTTTGCAGAAGCCATTTTAGAAACACCGACCAAAAAAGCGGGATTAAGATTCGGCGAGCGCGTTTCAGACATTGCCTCATTGACCGTGCTCTGCTCGCCAAGTGGTTTTCTGCTCGACGGCATTCCTTGGGCGAGTTACGACGTCCAAGCGCGGTAAGGGCGGGGTAGAATTACCTCCTTTCAAGTCACTCTTTATACTCTCACCAACATATAGTGGCTCAGAATGTTCGCAATGTCCACGGCCTGTAGGGGAGCGCGCCGTGCAATCCAAGATGGCTGCGGAGGGAGGATCAATCCGTGAACTGGCATAGGAAAAGATAGGACGAGCGGACGTATACTAGCTGTACCGCTTTCCCCGTAGCAATGGTTAATAGTCAAATGAATGTATATTGGACCAAAGAACTTTTCTAAACTATAGGAAATGCTCAATGTTCGCTACCTCACTTTTTTGCCGCAGTGCGAAGAGTGCTGGTGTCAGCTGATCGTCCGTGTATCAATGATGCTTTGCGTAATTCTGTGCATGCTACAGAAAACTGCGCGAACTATAATTCACGTATGAACTGAACGCCACTCCGTGATCGTTTGGGCCGAGCCTGTCTGGCAAACTTGCTGCAGTAGTAGGTCACTGGCGCGCTCGCTGAAGGATATTATACAATAAATACAATCAAAAAGACGTACGAGCATGAAAAAAAACAAACATTAACGTTCGACGGGACGGTTAGTGCAACTCGCTGCTCGTCAGCTAGCCCCTAATGGTTCATCGTCGCTGTTCCTCTCAGCGCGTTGACAACCATCTACGTCCAGCGAAAAATTCTTGACGTCAAGAGGGTTTTTTTTTTAACATCACTGCTTAAAGTAATCTGAGGAATTCACTCCACCCAAAGACTTCGATAGCACTGGCAACGCGTCATTGCACAACACCAAAACGGCGTCACTCACAACGTTTTCCTGAAGGTACGGATAACATTTCGCTCCTATATTAGGCAAAAAAGGAATTGCTTGCATAATGCTGCCATCTATCAACGAACGTAGAAAACAAGCGGTGCAGCGTAGGCCAAGGTTTGGAAACGCAAATCGTAAGCCTGCGCTACTTTCCGCTTGCAATGAATGTTATGGGGTTCATGCACTACATAAGCACCGACGAATGCTATACGCAGGTAAAACAAGGTGAGTTTCAACTGCAAAGGTAGTCAATAGCATTTAACTTTCCTACGTGGCTGCAGAAAATCTCTCGAAGATCATATATGTACTCTGCGGGCTATAATAGAAAACGCGAGTTGCCACGTATTTTCACAAGTACTTCGTCTCTTGTAAAAAACGAATCAAATGTATCGTGTCACGGACGGTGTGATATACTCACTGATGAACGCAACATGCAAAGTGGTTTGTGTTCGTTTCTTGCTAACGTGTAAACACTTAGGCTAGCACCGCCGAACAAAGAAGGGTTGGGAACGTCTGCTTACTGATCATCCTTAATAGGACGCTCGTGAATTCGCGCTAGGCGGCGAGACAGCCTATGAACATTGTGAATACATTAGAGGCACGACCAGCAGGTAGCGGCGCCTGTCTCGGCCATTGAATTTCCTAAAATAAGTAGAAAGCATTCTGGCGCTGCGATCGTTCGGTGCCCATGGGAAATATGAATAGTACATAGAGTGCAGTAGTACATGGATTTGCTATAGTTTTCGTGTTTGCGGGCGGCAAACGTACTTGTGGCTTCGTTTATTGCTGTGTTTTGGTTTTGTCTCGAATAAAAGAGCGAACCATTTGTAACTTCGTGACCTCGATTTGAATCGGTGAGCCAAAAAGGCGAAGGTGGTGAAGAGTGACTGTCGAACATTTGCCCATTGTTGTTTCGTGACAAAGCTGTTTCAGCCACGCGAAGCCAAAAGGAACGTTAAGTATGAAGGCTAGGCAAATCTGTGTACTGCCCATAATTATTATGCTCGCTGACGTACTGTACATTGCAACTCCCATAGGCACTAGCACCAGATTTCTCTCCAGTGAATATTTAGGAAACTATACGCTCTCGGAGACACAAAACACCCCGGAATGCAGCTAGAGTTTCTCATGGTGCCACTGCGCGTTTTCTCAGGCGTGGCGGAGAGTCCCTTAGCGCTGTTGCCCGAATCTCGCTAGCCGCTTCATCAGCGGCTGCACTTTGACTGCTTCACAAGTACCGATGTGTTGTGGGGCATTTCATAACACGGACCATGTTGATAAAGTGGTGCCACACAAAAAGAGAACTTCACGTTAAATACTTAAACTGTGAAACAGTCTGATTGAAATTGTATACCCTAACTTCCTCAACGTCAATAACAGACAAGTTATCTGGTTGCATTTACTCCCGTCCCCTTATTAAGGCTCCGATTGTTGTTTCTCGCGAATAAATACTTGGTAGGTTTTCTTCAGAAAAGAAAGTATATATATATATATATATATATATATATATATATATCTGTGCGTGTGTGTGTGTGTGTGTGTGTGTGTGTGTGTGTGTGTGTGTGTGTGTGTGTGTGACGTAAGAAGGCAGGGATGGTTAGGGGCAGTAGATGAGGAAGAAGTGACCATGGAACATGGCGTATGAGCCAGGCCACGTCTCCCGCATCTACCATCACAAGAGTCGACAGGATGGAGACATGCCTGCCCCTTCATCAGTCGCTCATCATCGACGCAGTTCCTCTCAAGACGCCCTCACTATACATCCACAACCGTATCATCTCTTAGCAGGAAACAACGACCAGCACCATGACACAACCATCGGCCGACCTTGATTGATATGTGGGGTTGAACGTCCCAAAACCACTATATGATTATGAGAGACGCCGTAGTGGAGGGCTCCGGAAATTTAGACCACCTGGGGTTCTTTAACGTGCACCCAAATCTGAGCACACGGGCCTACAACATTTCCGCCTCCATCAGAAATGCAGCCGCCGCAGCCGGGATTCGAACCCGCGCCCTACGGGTCAGCAGCCGAGTACCTTAGCCACTAGACCACCGCCCATCGGCCGACCTTGACATTCCTAAGTTCACCGGAGCAGCGGACGATAGACCCGTGCAGGACTGGTTCCACCTGTTCGAACTCCACGCAACCGCTGCATCATGGTCGGAACGGGAGATGATCACCAACTTCACTGAATACATTTCCGGCGAGGCTTTCAAGTTTTACTTGACACACATACTCGAAAAAGACAAATCATGGCAAAAGATCAAATAAGAGATGATCCTCCGTTTTCGCGACTATGATGAAGACTTTCTTATTTCCAACCATCTGGAAACAATCACACTTAGTCGTCACAGTCAAAAGCACTGCTCACGCATTGGGACACCAAGAATGAATCGGCCTTTGAAACAAGACCGATCAAGAGCGATATGGTATCGCTGCTTGGGGAAACACGTATGACTGTCATCTATCACCCATTCAGAACATACAAAATCAGGTGATCCGCATTATCACTAATAGCTCACGATACTCCAGTGCAGGCCATCTACTCCAAGACAACAAAATCCTACCTGTTCGAAAGTTATTTTTTTATAGCATAGCCGTTCTTCTGTTTCAATTGCGCAATGCACTGCTACCGTTTGAGTTCATTGATTCAGTTTTCTTACAAAACAACAATGTAACCAGATTTGCAATGAACCTTAACTTTTTGCTACCCGCGTCGCGCACAAATTATGGAAAAATGACCACTGCCTATGCGGCCATTACTTTTAGATACGGAGCATCTTATACTCGCGCCTTGTAGTGCGCCGTCCACACCGCTTCTCGAACATTCGACAGCTGACGCGCGCGCATGCGCCGTCGCCCACTCTTCCACCATCTGTGCATCCCTTCCTCCTCTACACACCGCGCGCGCTTCACTCCTCCACCATCTGTGCACCCTTCCTCCTCTACACACCGCGTTCGACATCTACAATTCTCCTGATTCTCCAGTGGACGCGCATGTGGCGTCGCGCTTCGAGAACATTCAACAGCTGACAGTGCATGCGCCGTCGTGCTGTATATATACTCAAGGTCGGCGCTCGCTCGCTCAGTTGCCGCTCGTCGGTTGGTTTGTACGGCGCGTCGACGTCCAAGGTCGCGGTGAAATGAATTCCAACGAATCCACAAACACAATGATCGACGTCCCTTCGACCAGCGCCGCCCTTTCGCATACGTGTGTACGTGTTCACTCATTTAACACCCCCTCCTACAACCACGTTTAACCAATTTAGCCATCGACCCAAGTAAGTCGCAATTTAACACCCCATTTCACAACCACGTTAACCAATTTAGCCATCGACCCAAGTAAGTCGCACTTTAACACCCCGTTAACCAATTATATGGTCCGCATCCTCCTCAGTGTTCCCCCGAGGGAAGCTACGGGCAATTTTTTTGGAATAACATGCCTCTTTCTGTTAAAACGATGCCCACATTGTCATCATTCAAAAAAGTCGCTTAAAAGTTTTCTGTTAAATTATTAGCTGCCTGTATATGGGCTTTTGGGGGCCTTTGCGTTTTTGGTTATGCCATTTAGATCATTGCATTTTGATTGACAATGTCCGCCACTGAACGAGATGTTTTTTTTCCCGTTCTTTCTTTTTTCTTTCCTTATTTGCCTTGCTTTTTGTTGCCTGATGTGTCACTTAGCCTATAATAATTACTTATCACTCTATATTGTATGATTGATTTCCATTCACTCGTTGCTTGTTAACTTGATCTGATTTATTGATTGTTATAATGCATCGAGGGTCCCGTTACAGTTTTTAACTTTGGGACCCTCGTCTGTATATTAATATTACTGTACTACTTTTTTGAAATGAATAATAAACTGAAACTGAAACTGAAACTGAAAGCACCTTCTCACTGAAAGGCAGCCAGATCTGTTTGCAGTAAGAGTACCTTCTATCGCACCCTATTTTGCAATTGCCTGGTGGAAAACCAACCCTTACGTCATCACTGCACCATAGAACTCACGTTAGGGAGCCACACTGTGCAGTGTACTCTCCGTCTCACGCACTTCGACCACCTCCTGCTTTTCGGTTGCTTGGCTCTTCAGTAGCTCACAACGGTCACCTCGCATATCACATGCTCACTACGGTTAATAGAGGTGAGGAACTCGGAAGATACTCAGCCAGGTTCTGACCCATCTGTGCAGATGCATGCGTCAGAACATCAACTCTTTAGTTACACATAGATACAAACATTCCCGACTGAAATCTGACCAAACCATGCCTTCAGCGGTGTCACCATCCAGTGCATGGACACCCAAGAGTCTTATTAACACAGGAGGCTCGGAATATTCAAATCGCACACGTTACCGAGAGCCAGAAGGGTCCATTAGGAAGGGCGTCACAAGAGCCTCCGAAGATCCGGCTGTCACCTCAGCTCTTTCCGCAGCAACACCATCGATGCCAGCAAAAGCAAGTCCAAGAACAACAGATTCTCCGAGGGCTACACCAACAAGGACGACGACGAACGGAAACATATTTGAAAGAACACTCAAGGATTAAACAAAGGCATCTACAAGTGGGTCAAGTGAAGTGACGGCAAATTCAATATATCTCTCTTTAGACAAACAAGTCATCTAATACAAGACATTTCGCAAGAAGGAACATTGCACAAGTTTTCTCCAGAAGAGATCAAGACTCAGACTACAATAAAAGCTGTTGAGACAACAGGACACAAAGCGATGAAGAAGGCGCAAAACACACCCTGTATTCCGGAAGGACGCAGAAATCACAGCATCAGTCTTGGTCAAAAAACACGCAGACGTGTGGCGCTGCACGTGTACCAATCAAGGAAATGAGCATGACGCCTATGCAAATCATGCTTCTGGTGCTCTAAAGCCTTTACGCCACGTTCATTCCTCGCAAGAATACAAGCAGTTTCATCATCTGCAGTTTCCATGTTCAAGGTGTACGTGTGCTTCCCAGTACGCAACAGTCATCCTCGCCCACCAGAACTCCAGCACTTACCGAACTGCAGCACTCTCCTGTGAAGCTATAGTGTATTTACGCAAACTTCCTGGGACATGGAACAATTTTTCCTTTTGACAGTGTTCACTTCTAAGCTATGCATGTTCAGTTTTCGTTTCTGTCTGTCTGACGCGATTTATTTCGGGGGGAGGAGAAATCCTGTGATATAAGAAGGCAGGGATGGTTAGGAGAAGTAGATGAAGAAGTGACAATAGAATAAACATGGCCTGTGAGCCAGGCCACGTCTCCCACATCTAGCAGCGTCACCCCCCATATATATATATATATATATATATATATATATATATATATATATATATATATATATATATATATATATATATATACACAAAAACCTCTACACGTACAAACACACGTACAAACCTTTACATAAAGCCTACAGACCGTTAAATGTACCTACATTTCAACAGCAGCCATCGAAAGCATTGCAAAACGGGAATTCCCAATTCTCAGGCTTACTGGTACCGAAGAATAGGCACTGATATGCAGGAATTGGACAGACACGCAGAACACCTAAATCATTTCTTATTGAAACAAAGTTATCCCGAAGACATTATTGACGATGCCATACTACGTGCTCGCAACGTGAACCGGAATGATACAATTAAGGGGCCTAACAGAGCATCTAAATCTAGCTCGCAAGCGAACCTTATACTAACTTATTCTTCATCAGTGCCACGAATCAACAACATACTATCCCGCCATTTCAACATAATCAGGCAAAGCAAACGACTAAATTCAATTTTCGCGAAGCCACCTCACGTGGTGTACCGCAGGAATAAAAACCTGAAGGACATTCTCGTCAGAGCAAAAACGAACCCCTCCAAAATTCAATCAGGCTGCCATCCCTGCAAAAAGGTCGATGCAAGGCATGACCATAGATGGTCACAACACGTGAATCAAAAGCGAACTTCTCGGATTTCAAATCCTGCATAACTGAAAGCCTTAATTGTGACTCCAGTAACGTGATATACATGCTACATTGCAACATCTTCGGACAAGAATCTTTCGGCCCAACAGACATGCCATTTCGGCTGCGGTTTAATAATCACCGGTACCACGCGACTTCACTACCGAAGCTGCCTTTATCTAGACATCTGTGCCTGCCAAACCACAGTTTTGAAAATATCAGCGTAACTCTTCTACAGTCCCGTTTCTCAAACAGGCGTGAGCGCGAACAGCGTGAGGCATGAAAGTAAACATCCGACAGAAGTCTGTCTGGTTGGGTACGAAACAGAGAGATGATTTAGACGCCAACCAAAAATTTTGAAGAAACGCGACGTTTCGGAATCGACTTGGTTCCTTCCTCAGGGGTCACTGCGGAGGCTACGTAGCAGCGTCGTCTTCAAAGCGTTCGCGGGGTGGCTAATGACCTCTCTCTCTCTTTCTCTCTCTCTCTCATTTTGCCGTGGAGCGCAGTCCGTGTGAATACACCGGGGGAAGGGTTCCGAGCGAGCGGTTCATATTATGGGCTGTCCTCTGTATGTGCCACGACTCGAGTGACAACCTTCTCCTCCAGTTCGGCTCGCCTTCAAGGATGGCCATCGCCTCTAAATTTATTTTGGGATCCAACGTGCACCACGCCGTATATCGACGAGACGAAAAACCTACCGGAACGACTGAAGCAACACGCCAACGATGTGCGGAAGTTCTACAAAGAGCGCAGCGCAGTCGCCGAACATGCCCAGACCTCTCCTTCCTCCGTGGTGTAAAAGGAGGACGCCGGAGCATGGCCGCCTAGATCGGGCGCGAGCACCGCCTCGCACGCCCAATCCAGGCGGTCTGTGACCGGAGCTCGGCTGTTCGCGCCACTAGAGCATATTATAGTTCACAATAATCCTCAATTTTTTTCTCTCCTACTTCTCATTTCTGTGCAGCGCTGTTGAGGCTAACTTCAATGAGAGACGACGCATCACCATTTCCTTTTTTTTCTCTCTTTTAAAGCCACTCCTTTAAAACTGCTTCACGCTTGCTTGGTGGTGCGGCTGTGGAAAGAAGTACGAAGTTGCTGACGTGGCTACCATTGGCTCGCACTTGGGTTTGACTTAGAGATCAACTTAAGTGACAGAGCAGCCAGTGGAGACTTATAGCGTTACACATGGCGGACGGTTTTTCGTTCAGCCTAGCCATATGCAGCTTTCGCTGTATTAATTAGTCGCGAATCATCAATTTACAAGAAGCTGATTCTTTTGTGTCCCTTACCGAGGTGCTTATTTTTAATTTCACTTTGACAGCTTAGCTGCTAGTAGGCATGTGACTACACCTAACGAGAAAAATTGCTTTGCGTGTTCACGCAAAGACTGGGAGGATGCTCGTGTTTCGCCTGCTAGAATAAACGAGGTGGCATTATTGAGTCCGGGGCGTATTACCTTCCACCGTGTTGCTATGGATTAAACATCGGCGTGTGTAACATTAGTCGATTGCCCGCTGTTTATCTAGTAGTGTTAGGGCTAATTACACTCTAAATAGTCCTTTGAAAATTGTCGAACTGCTACGCGTCCGCAAAGCACCACGCACGCCAACGCCGCTGCTCATTTTCCAATAGGTCGCTGCCTTTAAACCACCTTGTCCTCGCGCAGTTACCGTCTGGTGGAAATCTACGATTCTGCCACGCAATGTTACATGCGCTGAGGAGACTCTTTAAACTACATGAACTTCTTCGGCATTTTTTTGTCTTACGAATTTGTTTCAAGCGCTGGTGTCACTTTTTCGTAGAACCGCTTCTTTGTACGCAGAAGACAAGGAATCTTACTCAAAAAGAATATTATATAATTTTGTTTATTTCCAACTATCTCAAATTTTTCTTTATGAAAAACGCCAAATTTGTGCTCTGAAGCAACGCACTGACGCTGACGCCTTACTTTACAATTTCGATGAAAGGAGCTCTGTCATGCTATAGCACTGATTTACCTGTATTAAGAGGTCCTGCATGTGCCACAGGTATAGAACAGGAATTCTCACCTATGACATACAATCAAAGGAAAGGGCGTCATGCGTCGGGAACGTTTATTTAGCTGAAATGACGGGACTACTCCGTATCGAGCGACGCAAAACAGCCATAACTATGAGCGCAAGGTAGCCTCCCAGGCTCAGCGCTGGCTATTCTCCCTGCCTTGTTTCTCTTTAACTCATTCTTCAAATTTAGTGAAACGGCCTTCATGATTGATGCTGAGCAAGTATCGAGGAATAAAATTCTTTCGCAAGGCAGAAAAGCGAAAAATTCCTGCTTTTGTTCAAGTTCAGACGTAGCACATCTGCTGGCAGTGTGAACACTCCTTATCATCTATTTATCAAATTCTCAAAAGTAGCATCAGCTCATCGGGAATCACTAAAATATTCTCGTTTATAGCGAGATTTTTTGCACATTTAATTTTTTTTTCATCTTTGCGCAGGGTGCATGTTCGTAATAACCGACGGCGTCAGTGATCCTCGGTACCCTCCAAGGAAATGCGAACGTGTATACAGGAGGTACTGCGGCCCTCGAAGTATCGTACTCTGGAAGGAGGATTGTAAGACGGCAGTATCTAAGCATTAGGTAGAGCTATACCGATAGTTCTTCCTAATAACCCTATTTATACAGTAGACACGTGGTAATAAAAGCACATTTGCAAGTGTACGCTTCATGTTGGAATTGTTTCTTTATATATGCGTAATTAATGTTCTACACGATATGCCAATCTCCATTAATTAGAGGGACCAATATATAAAGGCCGCGTTATACGTCGGAGTTACCGCTTTACGTGACAATATTATGTAGACATTATGAAAACTTATGGCTAAAGAAGGCGCCGTAAAATCAAACTTGAAAGACACAAAAAGCAAAAGTGGTGTTCCTTTTCATTGTAACATCCTATACCAAGAAAAAAGTTCAGCGCACTGGTGTCGTTTACCGATGCTGCCTTTTGATCCTCACTCTATAATAGTGCAACATCTTCCCTACTGAGGCGGTTGAGAGAAGAGGCGATGTGCGCAAAGTGCGCGGTACATTCCCGGTAATACGAACATCAATAAACATTTGCCTGCATTTTTATCCGTGGCCCTTGCAAACTTTGAGAAGGCTGCAGTTTTGCCTGGGTAAGGCCTCATACGTACATGCTGGAATATATGTTCCAGGAAGTGCTGTTCTTCCAATCCGAAGTGTCATTTTTTTTTCAACTGTGTGCTGCGGCCGATATGTCTTCAAGAACCAAAAAGGAGCCCTTTTAGGTGTCCTTCGAACGAGCCAGAAAAAAAGAGTCATGCTTTCAAGGTAGAAAAGACACGTGTTTGACTTGAGACCAGACAGTAATCACGTGCTTTTGAAATGTGGCTGGGTCCGAGCATAAGCTGAAAGGTGGCACTTTAAACTCATAAATCCCACCAGCCGTTTCGAGAGTGCTCTTCTCAGAATGGGGCTCATTTACTTGTATTTGCCAGTATATACTTTTATGGTTAATTGACGAGAAGTAACACTTGGGCCGTAGCCCCTAGAAAGAGCCATCGATCAGTGGCAACAGATGGACATTGTTCTTAGTAACAGTGTTGAGTTACAGGCAGTCGATGCAGAAGCTCAAGCTACCGTCTTTTTTTGGCGAGCCCCAGTGGGCATGTACTATGACTTTTTGATGATTGTAGTACATCATACTTCAGAATATTTAACTGCTGCTGTATTGCCTCACGTTGTTCCTGACGGATGTGGTTTCTGCCGGATGGGTCACACTGTAGATTGAGTGATTCCGCGTAAGATCGAACAAATGATGGCTGGTCGACTTCCCAAATTTCTTCAAAAATTTTACATATTGTTGCCTGATTAGTTGAAAGAAGAGACCCGCAATTATTTTAAGCGGCAAAAATTTTATGACGCACAATAATTTAATAAGAACGGTGAGGTGGAGTGCCACGCTTACCTGCTCTGCTGCTTTTTTAATTTGGCGATGAATTAAACAAAAGATATCGAAAGCTACGTGTCTGAAATTAATTTGGATACATATAGGCGTACTGGCGCTCATGGGAAGGTATATTTTCGAATCTCGGCATAGCGTAGATATCTTCATAAAAAATTCTCAAATTCGACCTGAAAACGTTTGTCTGTCTAGTTTACAGGCCTTTATTTCACAAAGGGCCTATGGCAGAGCGGTGAAAACTCCGCATCACTTTCTCAGCATTCTCAATTATGAAACTGTCAAAGCCTATACATTTAGCAATTTTGAATAAAGAGATGTACTTGCGCTAACTTCAACAAAAGAGCACACATGTAAAACTTCGAACAACAATTAAAAACGAACCAATTTTCAATATTTTTATACTTTCCCCAATTATTCTTCTGCACATCAGCTTTCACAATCATCAAAAACATGTTGTAATATATCGTTTCGCTTGCAGTCGCGGTCCGTCAAAAAATGCCCTTGTGAAAGGACAAGCAACCATAGATCAGACTTCCTTCCCACTAGACATGAAGTTCAGGCGTAATTGATTGATCGATTGATATGTGGACTACCATATGATTGATATGTGAAACTAGTATATGATAATTAGAGACGCTATAATGGAGGGCTCCGGGAATTTCGACCACCTGGGGTTCTTTACCCTCCAACCAAATGCGAGCACACGGGCCTTCATAGAAAATGCAGCTGCCGGGAATGCAGGCGTAGTCCGGATGATGATTATGATGATGATGATAACAGAGCTCGATGCCACAGTGCTTCAATGAACCCCACGCGTAGAACACTAGATTCATTCACAACCATGTTTATCACTGCTAATTTGCAGCGACGAGACATATTCGCTCGTTACAATATCATGCCGAAGTGAAAAACCGTAGGTGACTACAAATTTCATAAAATATTCACACCCGAAAATTGTGCTCAGTCTTCCACAAAGGCTTCATTCGACGGGCCCCTTCACACCAGAACATAGACTGTGCATGCATGCTTGCTCAATAATTCCCCACTCATGACCACAACCACGACCAAATAATTTCAAAATTGGCGCCCTCAGTGCGGTCGACAGGCATTTCCGTGCTGCTTGCCTTTTAAGAAACTGACATACAGGCCGGCATTCCATACTTGGCAGGCCGGAAGTTCGATCTACCATTGCCTATCCTTGCACAAGGGCATTTTTGACGCGCCGCAACTGCAAGCAAAACCATATATTGCAACATAATTTTCATTGATTATGAAAGTATATGTACAGTAGAATAAGTGGGGAAAGTATAAAAAATATTAAAACTGTTTCTAATCGTCGCCAGAAGTTTATTTTGCGTGCTTCTTTCTTGAAGTTAGCACACTTACAACTTTTATTGAAAACTGCGATTCAAATAGGCTTTGGTGGTTTTATAAATAAACATGCTGGAAAAGTGATGCGAAATTTTCACCGCTCTGCCATCGGCCTTTTGTGAAATAAAGAGTTGCAAACTGAAAAGAAATACGTTTTTAAGTCAAGCTTGAGATGTTTCATAAAGAAATATTATTACGCAGACAGTCTAAATTTTTTATTTCATGTTAGAAGGAGTGTGTTCCATTTTCTTAAGTGTGTAGTATTTTTTATTATTATATGTTTTTCTGTTGTGAAATGTGATGGAGGCGACTTTGATTATTTGTTTGACTGACTATGTATCTCTTCTGTATTCTACATTTTGCTAAAGCTTCCCAACTGTTCTCAATTGGCACTCTGTGTAACGAAATAAATAAACATTGTCGATAGATAAGCATTATATTTGAACATAATAAATGTGTCTCTTCAGGAAACGTGGACTAACAGTGACATGCACACACAGCAAACTTTAAATAGGTTGTCAAGATAAATTTTTAGCAATAGCTTTTTGACAGTAATTCGAGACATATTGAGGATAACTTGAACAAGAATTTTGGGAGATCACGTTCAATTTTCGTTTTGGAGACAATGGTGACTGCATGCAGCTTTCAACAAACAGCAATATTTCTAGACCTAGAATGATTTGTGAGACAATAATTTATGCCAGCGACACAAGCTGAAGTGATGTAGATCAATCATCTAAATAGCTATATATAAAGGCATTCATATAAGGCCATTTTTAACCTTATATGACTGCTTATATATGAGCCATATATAGATGATTGCCATATATGGCCATATACAGCAACATCGATATATGGGTATATAACGGAATAAATATATTAGGTTGGATGAGGCCCACATATGGCTAGATCAAGAATTAGGTCTCTAAGGTTATATAAGCCCCATATATGGGCAATCAATATAAAGCCAGATATACTCTATTCCCGATGAAGCTATATATGGATATTGTTATATAGGCCTCTATATGAAATTTTTGTAAGAGTACGCAGGAGCACAACCTGCTCTTTTTTGTAATATATACTACACCTGTATAAATTATTAAAATTGTTTTTTTTGTTCTAGAAAGAATCATACATTAGTATGAAAATACGAAAGAAACTTTAGAATAGATAAAAATGAAGGAAAAAAATGAAAAGAAGCAACACGAACAAGTGTTGCTCGTGTCCTCATCCTTCATTCATCCGTTTTTTCCATGCAAAAGTTTTCGTATTTTTAATGAAGTGCGAACTCGGCCTCACACCAAGCAGATACATTGACGTGTTTGAAATAGTAGGTGCAAAACCCTCTACAAACTATCTAGAAAAACAATTTTCTTTTCTAGATGTGTTTTCAATGCATACAGAAAAGAAGGACAGCATTGCCTTGAAACTATTATTTCTGCTGCTACAACAAATATTACTACGCGATTCAGGTTAAATGATGAAACAGTACACAATAAATGCCTCAAATTATGCATCTGCAATGAACACTGAATCTGTCTGAAACAAGAAAGAATTTATTTGCCCATGACTTACGGTAAAAGGACGCCGCATCAGATGTAAAGGCCTATCGGCACTTGTGCCTCTCTATAGAGGTGCCATCTGCGTACGAAGTAACAAAATGTCTCAAGCATTGCTGTTCGCAAATAATCCAACAGGTGTCGCTACGCATATTAAACAGGCTGAAACATGCCTATATGTAAGCCACCTTTTGACAGACCATATCAAATGTCACTGCGCTCGAACACTTTCGTATTACAGGCTCTTCACCGCGAATGAAGGCGCTTCTAGCGGCCACAAGCGAAAACCCGACAGAATGCTCTCACCCGCTTTCACAGCGGTGTGATTGCGGGACAATAGGGTATGGCAGGCTCAAGTTTGCGCAGCGCCGTTGGCCGCCCAAGCGGAAAGAGGCCAAACCTCCGGTCACTCGGACGGGCCGTGGTTGCTGGGGTTTCCCATTGCACGCACGGAAAACGTGTTCCTTGGGGCACTTATTTCGCATTTCGCATGCTATGAGCACCGCTCCTTCGTCATCCTGAAAAGCCGACACACACTACTGCTGCATTGTTAGCTGCTACAAAAGTTTAAACATGACGAAGACCTGAAAACTGCCCGTCAAGTTCTACCGTTTCCAACGCAAGCAGCGCGAAAAGCAAGAGTGGACTACGGCACTTCGCTAATACTCCGTGGTCTTGTTAATTTGAAATATTTTAGTCGTGCAGAGTACTACAAACTATTGACTGAAAGACACGCGATTGCCGGACTCGTACTAAAATAAAGCGCGTTTGTATACAGAAACTACAGCAAAT